GCAGTACCTGTGAGCATACACCTTTGTGTATATAATTTATAGCATGGGAACACATTGTACACAGTTAGTAATTATATGTAACCATGTCACTTAATATTCTTCTAAAGCTCCTTTTCATTTTTAAAAGTGTTTTGCATGGTAATACATCAGATAGATGTATCATTATTTAACTTTTTTCCCTATTGGTGGATAGTTGATGTCAAATTTCTTTTCCCCCTCTCGAACAATTTTTTGATGAACATCTGTATCTTGGTGGGATAAACCCGGGAGTATAGAGGAGGGGTCCAGGGAAAGGCTCCTGGAGGAAGTGACATCTGTCTGGAGACAAAAAAGGATTCGTAGGAAATGCCCTGGTTGGGGGGGCAGGACAGGGTGGGAGGCAGGTGTTCCTGGTGGAGGAGGCAGCTCACTGCAAAGGCTGGGAGGTGACAGAGTGCATAAGCATCCTGGGACACCCGGGGACCAAGTACAGCTGGAGGGTGTTGCGGGGTGGGGGAGTGGGCAGTGAGGGGCTAGTGACCAAGTGACCAGGGCCAAGTCCGAAAGGGCCCTGTAAGCTATGCTAAGGAGCGTGGGCCCCGGGCAACGGAGAACATTGCAGAGAAATGACATATCCAGGTTGGCGTCTGAAAGATCCCCGTGGCTGCTATGACTAAGCCAGCTCCATTCGACAGCTAGACTCGGAGCTGTTATTAACACAATGAAACAGAAATTAGAAAGAAGAGAAGAAGAGGGAGAAAAATAAAAGAGTTCACATGTAACAGCTCACAGATAAGCTTTTCAAACTGTCTAGGTTCTCAGAGTCTGAGGCGCAATTGAACAACAAGTCAAAATCCTCACTCCCCTCTCCCCACCCTGGGAAGAAGTGCCCTGTGGTTTCAGTAACCAAGCCGGTGTGGGTCCCGGTCCTGTGGTCCTGTTGCGGGGGCTCTGGTGGTGGGCTCTGATGACAAGGCGGGTGGGGTTTCTTTCAGGAGCTCACTGAGGCTCGGTCCCCACCCAGGGCCGCCAGAGAAACAGGTGTGGTCCATGCTGTGTGTGTCACTTGGTCCCAGCCGCAGAGCTGTCCCGTTCTCCAAGGACACGGCAGGCGCAGAGCTGATCCGCAGAGCTGATCTGGGCTGTGCCTCCCAAGGGCTGACGTCTCCATTTAGGGAGCGCTCCTGAAACTAATGGGCAGTGACAGCTCCATTTGAAAAACACAGAAACACTTAGGGAGGCTGTGATCTGCCAGCCCCGTAAGCTGCTTATTAGCAGGAAAATCACGCTCCCCCTGCATTGTGCCCCCTTGGTTAACCCCTGCTTTTTGCCTCTCCTCCCTACTATCTCACTTAAAGATTTCATTGTTCTCTGAGGCGCTTGGGGGAGGGGAGGGGAGAAGGGGTGGGGGCGGGGAGGGGGAAAGGCTCAGAGCCGCCAGGAGCTGTTTCTCTGTCTCCTATCACAGCCTCTGGGGGAGGCCCGGGCCAAGCTGCAGCCTTCAGGTGTGCATGGGAAATTGATGGTTTTTAAAGAAAAATGGCCCCTGAAGACTCCAGGTCTCCGCTCCCCTGCTTCCCACGCTGGCTGGTCTGGATCCCAGCACCCAGGCCAAAGAGGAACACGCACAAGTGTGCCTTACACCATGCTGGCTCACTCCCAACCACCGGTCCCTGGCTCCAGCCCCTCTGGGTAGTGTCCACCGCCACCCCTCTGCCCCTTGGCCCTGTCCCCCATCACTCTCCTCCAGACAATGACAGCCAGCTTCTACCTTCCCCAGCGCCTCTGCTATCAGTCTAGCTGCTGACTGTCTTCAGTCCCCACACCCTTGACATCCCCACTGGGCATTCAGACCTATCAAACAGGAAAGCAAGTGCCCGATGGCCCCCCGAAGGTGCTCTACCCTGAGCATCCCCCACTTGCCCCAGAGCTCAGGCGCAAAGTTGAGGGGTCACTGACAGGCCCTCTCTTCCTGGAATACCCCCCACTTCTGACCCATCAGCACATCTTGCCACCTCTCCCCTCAGTTCAGATGCACCTTTCTATCTCCCCCAAGGGCACCTTCCTCTGAGCCACCATCCTCTCTCACCTCCCGGTTGACACCCCTGGGCCTTGCCCTTCCGTCAGCTTTGTACACAGAAACCCGAGTCAGAGCATGCTGGGTGCCCAGAACCCTCCAGTGACTTCTCACCAGGCAGAGATGGAAACCGTCTCTCCTCCCTTGGCCGGCAAGGCCCCCTCTGTCACCTCTCTGCCTCTTGATCACCGCTCTGGCCACACTGGCCTCACCACTCTTGGGGGATTCGGCCGAGCGAGTGTGCCCGTCTCTGGGCCTTTGCAAATGTACTTCCCTCCGCCTAGAATGCTTTTCCTCCAGACATTCAAATGGCTCCAAGCTCATCTCCTCAGAGCTGACCACTTTATCGAAAATGGCATTCTCTTCGCTCTGTATCCCTGGCCTGACTTTATTTTTCTTAATACCACTTGCCTCCCCCATCTGGCATTAAGACAACTCTGCATATTTACAGTTCCACATCTGTTTATGTGTTTGTTGCCTTTCTTCCCCAGTAGAATGCAAGTTCCACGAGGCATAGATTTTGTGTAACTTACCTTGAGCACAGGGCCTGGCACAGAGCAGGTACTCTAAAAATATTTCTCGAATGAAAAAAAAGATGCATAAGCAATGAAAGAACCTGGACTATAATCCCAACCACACTGTGTTGAGGGTCCATCCTTTTGTGGGCAAAAGTTTTCCCCCACCGGCCGGCAGAGCAGACCCCAAGTCTTGATTGTAGGGCAGACAGGCGGGTGTGAGGGGTCACTTCTTGTTTTCTGAGACCTGAGGCAAAGATACCAACATGGCTGAAGAGAATTTTCCCAAACAGGAACAGAGCAGGAGTTCCGAGGCCCTCTGGGAGCTAAGTCCCAAGCACACGCGCACACGCACACGCACACGCACACGCACACACATACCTCTGCTTCCCTTGACCATGGGGCTTGAAGGAGCAAAGGGGGAGTGTGCACTCCTTGACTTTGTCAACTCACCGTCCCTCTGCCCGTGACTCAGGCTCGGAGGCAGCTAGCTCTTCATCTTCTCATCTTCTTATCTGTGGCCCATTTTCCACGACTTTCCTGCTTGACCCCTCAGAGATTTCAGCTCCAGCAGCCCCTCTCCCTGGATTCTCGCAGTCCCCAGCCTGTCTGACGGTGCTCGCTCCTGGGTCTCCTCTTCCCGCTCTCGGTTTTAGGGGCAATTTTTTCACTGGCAAATGGAAATCAGATCCTCACCTCCCAGGGTGGTTATGTGAAGCAAAAAGGTCATGTATGCGAAACCCTGAGCAAATGCCAGTTGCCTGGAAACTGCTCAGTAGTTTTTATTACTGTTATTATTATCTTTCTTCCACTTCCCATGTTCTGTCCTTTCAATTTTTTGTTGTTTTTTTCCCCCAAGACCTCTCTCCTGAGCTCCCGAATCTCCTTCTCACCCCCTCAGGTCATCTCCTGGAGCCTCCCCGGTCCCTCAGAGTCATCGTGTCCAAATGGAAATAGCCGTCTTTCTGAATTTTCCCACTTTCTGTGTCTCCGGGGTTGAGGCAACCACATTCCCGCTGTCCTTGAAACTGGAGACCTCTTCATCCCCATCCTTGACTCCGACTCCCTCCCTTCCCAGCCCCGCCCACTTCGTCCCGCCCTCCTCAGCCTGTGACCCATTCGTGTAGAATGGAGCCAGGAGCTCGGGCTCTGACGGCTCTGACGGCTCTGACGGCAGAGCTCTGTGAATAGCTCTGCGACTCAGTGGCTGTGTGAGCTTGAACTAATGACATCATCTCCCTGGCCTCGGTTTCTTCATCTGTCCACTAGGGCTAATGCCCCCATCATAGGGCCATTGGGAGGATGAAATAAGACAATGCAAGTAGAGCGTTCTAGGGTGGCTGGGGTATAGCAAAGGTGTCATGAATACGAGCCGTCGTACCTACTAGTACTCCTACTGCTCTATTATTAGCTTGTGGCTACCTGCTGTAGATGCTGTGTTTCAGATACTGAGAACTCTGTGCACGTATTTGCCGGTGAAAAACTAAGAATACCAGATTTCGTGACTGAGTGTCTTCTCACTCGGTGGGAACGAGTGTGTGCACGTTTGTCCACGCCTGCATACGTGCGTGTGCGCGTGCGCGCACATGCGTTACCCCCCTGCCTGGGACAGAAGGACGCCAGGGTGGGTGAGAAATGATGACGGTTTCCTCTCTAGAACCCAACTGCCCCACCAAGCACTGGCTTGTGTTTCATCCCACACCCTCCACTCCCATTTGGAGAGAGAGTGGCTGAGTGGGCCTGCTGGCACTTTGTGACTAAGGGTCAAGGACTTACCTAGCTAACCAGGGCCTCGCGGGCGGCCAGCCATTGCAGGCACCAAACCCAGGTCTCGGGATCCGTGTCCACTGACTAGAGTCTGTAAACTCCTGTGTCTCTGGAGCCAGCCGCGTCCGTCATTCCTGACCCATAGCCAGAGGATAGCACTTGGAGGGATCCACTGCTAAATATTGAGATCTCCCAGGTGACGTATAATGGGCTCATTACTTTGCACCTGGTGGCGCTTGAAGCATCGCTGGTACCTTAATCCCATCTCTTTCAGCAGGTGGGCTTGGCTGACTCCTTGGGGTCGGGGGTGAGGGGAGGGGACACGCCACCCCGCCACCTGCCCCACCATCTCATGCCTTTGCCATGCAGCTCCTGACTGCCCAGAGGACACCAGGGGCAGCTCACGAGCCCTAGAAACTGCAAGTCAGGAGCCCCAGGTCATGCGCCAAAGGTCATGAGAATTTTGCATTTTATGTTGCTCTCATTTCTGATCATTGAAACAACCTCTCTGAGGCAGGGGAGCAAGCAATCCCATTGTGTTTGGTTCTGTTTTGTTTGGGTTTTTGGTTTTGGTTTCGTTTCTTTGATTTTTTTTTTTTTGTTGTTGTTGTTGTTGTTGTTGTTTTCCACCTACCACAAGTTCTTTTCTTCCCCTCTCATAGTGTGGGCGAAATGCTGAAAACTTCGACCGGTTTTTCACCCGCCATCCACCAGTCCTAACACCTCCCGACCAGGAAGTCATCAGGAATATTGACCAGTCAGAATTCGAAGGATTTTCCTTTGTTAACTCTGAATTTTTAAAACCTGAAGTCAAGAGCTAAGTAGATGTGTAGCCCTCCGTCCTTCATTTCTGTCATTCGAGCTCAGCGGCTGTTGTGGTGACATCTTTCCTTCTCATTGCCACGTCGCATCCATGTTTTATTTGCTGATGAGACTAGAGTGACCATGTTTCAGAAGCCAAATGTCCTCAGGTAGTTTGGAGCATCTCTGTGAGATGGGATGATGCGGGTGGCACGTCACAAATGTTGCTGCATTAATTAGCACATCAGCAAGCATCCTCCTCGCGTTCACTTTCCCCAGCATGGCCGCTCCGCAGAGCCTGGGGCAACAGAAAAATGCCTGCTTTCTCTCCCTTTCTCCCAGCGCTCCCATAGCACACGTTTCCCAACTCCAGGCATTCAGTCTAGATCGTTCCTACCAAATGAGCGGATCACCGGATGCTAGCAGCATTCTCTCCCTCCTAGACCCGGAGCTTGGCTTGCATCCAAGTGTATGGTTGCTTTGACGTAGAGGGAATTCCTCCATTCTGTCTGGTTTGGAGGCACCAGGAGCTGTGCCGAGCACAGGCTAAATATAAAATCGTATTTGTTACTTTTTAGACTCAAAGTGAAGGAGATGATCTCAGCCCTTTTAAAATGCCAAGAGGGTGCTTTGAGATAGTCTCCATCTAAAAGGACCTCAAGGGGTCAGTCAAAAGGCAACTGGCTTGGGTGCCACCTCCATGCTGTAATTCCTGATACTCTCTGTCCCCCCTGATCACCTTCATCCTCAAACTCCTTGCAAAGGGCATTTGGCATCACCCCCCCTGAAAAGACACGGTCACTCTAGCCAGGTCCCAGAGGACCATGGTTTTACATTACATTTCAAATTTTATTTGCTTTGGGGTTTTATTTCTGTTGTTGTTCAAATGCAAAAAAAAAAAAAAAGAAAAAAGAAAACACTCACTTTGTTACACATGCTTTGAAATCTGTGTCCAAATGTTATTAACCACAATGACCTGCTTTGATTTGTCAAGAAGGCGGCTCTGGAGCCTAGCAGACCCATGCCCGCGCGGATGGGATTTGTCTAGGTTTGTTGCTGGCTTTGGAAAGCTAATTAAGCGCTCTGAGAAAGACACCATTTCTTGAAACGTAGACGGTTGTATTCTTCACTTTGATGTTGTTGTGCAAGATGTTTGTGGAAATGTCCATTTGTATCTGGATATCTGTTATGTGCCATTTTTTTTTCTAGCATCGAGATACAATAAAAAAAAAAAAAGAAAAGAAAGAAGAAATGCTATTTCAAGAAAAAACGGCTCTCTTTGAAAAATGTGGACCCAAACTGCCAAGCAGGGCTCCTGAGGCTTCGGGACAGAAAGGAACTAAACCCAGAGCTTAACCTCAGCCCCAGGGATGGTCCAGGGACTCCTGGCAGCCTGTAATGGGATGGGATGAGCTGGCCGGGGTTTCCAACGATACTGGAGGTCAAGGCCAGAGTCAAGTTTTGGGGCCAGCTAAGAGCATGGCTGGGGCTCTTGATTTTCTTATCAAAATCACCACTCCTCCCAGCTTGGACTAAATACTCTTTCTTGCGAGCAGCTTTGTGAGCCCCAAGAAGCCAAGGAAACCCCTTGTGGGGAAGAAATCCCCTTGCCTGCTGCCTCCTTCTATTCCCAGGCAGCCCTACAGAGAATTCTTATCACAAGTCGAGTGATTTCCAGAAGCACCAGAGCTTCTAAGAGACCACCAGGAGAACTTTACCAACTTGAAAAGTGTCCTTGAAGGAACACTTCTCATCTTTAAGAAACCCATGATTGGGATTTCCATATAGGCAGAGGCCCCTGGCTCACTCCTGTCTGCCCTCGGCTTCTCCATCATGGTAGCAATGTTGACCCCATGTGGGGCAAACCCCGAGTTCCAGCTGACAAGCTCAGGAAGTTAGAGAAGGAAGGAAATCGGGGCAGAAGCCTCCTCCCCCCATTTTCTTGTTGGGGACACTGGCATCCAGAGAGAGGAAGTGACTTGCCCAAGGCCAGCCAGCTGGGATGCAGACCCAATTTCCCTGACTCAGTGCAGGACTGTTTCTGCTCCATAGCCCGCGTCTCTGAGCCATGCCCAGCAACAAGCAAGTTATTTGAGGTCCTTCGTCTGGCTGTTGGGTCACCGGGTCTTCCCTTGGACCTGTTCTCAGGAAGATAAAAACCAGGGAGAAACATTGGGCCATTGATAGATTATTTGAGACAACATTAGAGAATGCTGTAAGATAAGTAGGTAGGCAGATAGCTAGACATGGATGGATAAATAGATAGGAAAAATATATCGTGTATACACGCTGCACATTTGCCAATTTCTGTCATTATTTTTTCAAAAGTTGAATCATTTGCGGAAAGAGGTACTCAAGCCAAAGTCTCTGTTCCCCTAACACACCTTGCTGAGAGTTGGCCAGCGAAGCTTTCTGTGCAAGTGAGGGATCCTTGGCCAGAGTTCCCCACAATTTCCTTTTCCATCACCACTTTAAGTCCAAAGGAGACCAAGAAACAGAGCTTTGAGAATATGTCATCTCTGGGCCATACTTGGCAAGTTTATCCTGGAAGAAGGATTTTCCACTTCTCTGTGCAGTCATCCCCGTATGCCATCCCCCATTCAGTCATCCAGGAAGCATTCATTGAGCACCGACTGTGTGCCAGGCTCTCTGCTGGGCACCAGGAGCACAGTGGGGGAACCCCAACGATGCAATCGGGGTGGCAGTCGTTAAACAAGTAACTAAAAGCATGATGTGATCTAGAGATAAGCAGTCTCTGAGTTAGTCAGGGGAGGCTACTTACAAGAAAGAAAAAGTCATCAGAAGTCTTCAGGGTGCCTCTTTCTGTAGACCACAGTTTGAGGCTGAAGGAGGAAATGCAGCAGTGGCCCCTTGACCCAGATTTCTGGGACAATCCTAGAGTGCAGTGGGTGGGGAAGGACAGGGGCTAGATGGGAGCTGGGGTGGGTTTCCTTCTAGAAGGCCAAAGGCACAGTCTCCATGCTTGAACAGACCATAGAATCACCAAGATTTGATCAGAGACAGATACTCATATAGAGAGAGGGGATTGGTTTTACAGCTCAGTTCTGAGTCCTGAATCTCACTTCTTAGAGTTTTCTCACCCAGATTCCTGCAGGCATGACCCTTTCCAGCCCTCGGGGAGATGCTCTTCTGCCAGCACATTGCTCCCAGCGTGACACCACCTGTGTCTTCTAGATGAGACAAGCTGAGATTTTCCAAAAGAACTTAAATTAGGGAAGGAATTTTAAAAAAAGAAATTAAGAGAATCCAAAGAAACCTAAACACAGTCCGTATTAGCCATGGCTAATTGTCTGCCAGGATCCAAAAATCATCTTTGGCATTCTTAGACTTCTCACTAACCTGCTCCTCTTCTAGGAAAGGGTAGGACCATGGTCCTAATGGCCTTGGGGAATCAATAGGAGGCCAGTGGAATTAATAACCCTCCTTGGTTGAGTGATACTCTGCTCATGAGGCTTCAGATGTTATCTACCCAAAAAAAGAATGGTCCCAACAGACAGGCCTATCCTCTCCCACCTTCTAGAGGTAAAATTCAGGGGTATTTCCTAAGGGGATCTGCTCACAGAACGAAATCCCTAATGGCAGGTTCTATTTGGACCATGTGACTGTTTGAAGCACGAGACCTACCGGCATAACAGATGGGGAAGAGCTGTGAGAGCTGGGGCTGGTGGTAAGGGAACCTCCAGGGATGCCCAAAGGCAGGGAAGGCCAGATGGGGTCGATGTTCCCGGGGAGATCTGAAAAGAGGCAACTGCCTGCCTTCTAGCCCCAAATCTATGTGTGGCCCACACATAGCCCCGCAGGTCTCAGACCTTGAAGGGGCCTAACTGTTCAGTCCCTCAGACTGGGGCTCAAACCGGACAGAGGCCGATGTGAGGGACCCAGAGAATCAACAGGAACAATTTCATTGCTTTGCTATAGAGTGGGGTCTCTGGCTCAAGGACAAGTGTATGTTGGGAAAAAAAGCAAGAGGCAAAGAGGCTCATCCTTAGTCGATCTCCATTCATTGATTCATTCATTCAACAAATAGTTGTGGACAGCCTGCTGTGCACCAAGCATTATTCTTGGCCCTGGAAATAACAGTAGTGAAGAAACAGGTATGGACCCTCCCTGCCTGGAGAGAGACAATAAATAAGACAATGTCTGATAGTACTTGGGTGCCACGAAGACAATTAAAAGGGTGCTAAGGTATGACTTGTAGGGCCCAGGGAGGGATGCACGGGCAATATTAAAGGAAGGGGTGATGTTTGAGCTTTTCTCTGAACACAAGAGATAACACAGGCCATGCCTGGGACAGCATAGGACAGGCTGACAGCCAGCAGGACAGGATAAAACAGAATGGGTGGGGCATGGCAGGAGATGGCCCGCCATCTAGAAAACAGCTCCCTCTGCATCTTGAGCCCACTGCAGTCTGGCGACACTTACTGAAGTGTGTTCCCTGCCCCCACCCCCCACCTTCACTCCCACACCTCAACGCAAATACAACGCAATTAAGTGGCAACTCCATAGGGACATTTTACCTATCTCAAGGGAGCAGCCTGAAGGAAGGAATTCTTGTGGGAGGTATTTGGCAAAGGGGAATGAGCCCATCAATGAGAAACCCTACCAGTCAGCGCCCATTAGAAGCAAAACCTAAGTCATGAATGGCGATTGACTGGACTCCAGCAAATCAGTCAATACTCACTGAGCCTCCCCTTTACAATCTGACCCAGCTCTGGCTTCAGCGAGGCAGACCCAGGCATTCTCCTCGGCTAACCTGTAATAAACCAGCCATCAGACCCTCTCCCCCGACCCACCCCTGTACCCAGTCGGAGGGAATGAGGTGAGCCCTAATTAAGCGCAATGTGGTCAGGTAACGATCACCACCCCACTGTGCAACCTTGGGCAAGTCACTGTATCTTCCTACACCCGTTTTCTCCTATGGCAAACCAGGGAGGGTGAGGACTCCAGCCCCTCCTGCCTTCAGGTGGGTGGTGAGGATGGGAGGGAACGAGAGCCTGCAGGACCCTGAACAGGTGAGAACATCATACAGACGTGGGGTGTTTTTATTAGCCCACACTCTGCTGTTCCCTGGAAAAGGTTGCTCCAAATTGTAGTTAGTAACCTGGGATTAATGCCCCCCCACCCAAAAAAAAAAAGAAATATCAGGCTAACCAGGAGAATGGAATTTTTGTTTGTTTTAAGGCTGCCCTTACAGACCTTACTTTAAGCTTTGGGTTTTGTTTCGTATAGCTATTTGACTAGATACATGCTCTGCTGTAACCATCCTTGGAGACAGCCTGTGGCTGATGAAGACCCAAATTCTAGTCTGTGGGTGGATTTCTAAGCATCCCTTCAAAGCCTAGTTAGCACCAGGGGATGTGGGATGGACAGTGGTCAGCTCCTTTCCTCAGGCAGCGATCTGATGCCCCCACGTGACACTCCACCTTCTTGGCAACTGAGTGGTTGTGCAACCGCTCTCCTTTTTAAAGAAAGGAGCCTCCTCGCCACAGGGGTCGCTGTTGGATGGTTTCCTCCAGGACGCTCTATCCCGTGACTAATTCTATGACATTTTACATAGTAAGAAGTAGTTTCCAGTTCAGTTCATCTCAAAGCCAAAGAAAACAGAACCCGCACATACCCACAGTCCACTTTTGACAATCCTTAAAGAAATTCAATGTTTCCTTTCCTTTCTTAGGCAATCGTCACCAAGTTTTCTCTCCTGAAGCCAACATACAATGTGAAGTGAAAGGCAAGGGATAGTATGCGCAAAGCACCTGCTAAACAACTCAGCACAGGGCTCTTTCTGACTCTGCCCATGAGATGTCATCGGCTTCCCACTAACTGGCAGGTGTGGGTCGTGTTTCCTTCTTATGCTGTGTTAATGTGTTTGCTTTCCATTTGGCAGAGAGACAAGCGAGACACCTCCAACTTCGACAAAGAGTTCACCAGACAGCCTGTGGAACTCACGCCTACTGATAAACTCTTCATCATGAACTTGGACCAAAATGAATTTGCTGGCTTCTCCTATACTAACCCAGAGTTTGTCATTAATGTGTAGGTGAATGCAGACTCCATTGTCCAGCCTGGAGTGTTAAGACTTCAGGTCAAGTGTACATATCAATTCTAGTCTTCCAGGATCCATGGTGCATATGCTGGCAGCCAATGTGTGGAGGGCTTGTCCTCGAGGGCTTTTCTTTGTATGTGTAGCTTGCTAGTTTGTTTT